AATAGATGGATGGACGGATGGATGGATGGTGGGAGGGAGGAAAAGATGGATGGACGGATGGATGGACGGATGGTGGGAGGGATAGATTGATGGACAGATGGATGGATGGATGGATGGACGGACGGACGGTGGAAGGGATAGATGGATGGACGGATGGATGGTGGGAGGAGTGGATGGATGGATATAGATAGATATACAGATAGATAAGTGATAGGATAGAATAGATGATGGATAAATAGAAAAATAGGCAGATAGCACCACAGAGCTGGAAGAGACCACAGGGGCCATCTAGTGCCATGCAGGGAAAGAACAATCCAATCCCTACTGGTAGATGGCCATTTAGCCCGTTTCAAAGCCTCCAAAGAAGGAGTGTCCATTGGACGCTGAGGAGGCAGAGAGTTCCTCTGCTAAACAGCTCTTCCTCTTTGGGTCAGGAAGGCCTTCCTTGCGTTTGGATGCCCCTCCAACCACCGTCCCTCCGCCTGTTTCTGACCTGTGTGGATGCGGACGTGGCGCTGCAGCGCTCCCGGGTCGGCGAACTGGCGCTGGCAGTGGACACAGATGTAGGGCTTCTCTCCACTGTGGATGCGCAGGTGCCGCTTGAGGTTGCCTGCCAGAGGAAAGAAGCAAGGAAGGAAGGTAGGAGGGACTTTTTCCCAGAAGGCCATGCGCTCCCATGCCCCCTCACCCACCCACCAACTATAACCTGCTTTAACCTATACTGTTGGGGATGATGGGAGATACAGAGACGACAGGAATGGATTTAACAATGCCATATAATAATAATAATAGTAATAATAATAATAATAACAACAACAACACATCTCCTGATGGCTCCAGGTGGGGTACAACAAATTCAAAAACAAATATATATTATTAAAAATCCAATCAATTACTAAATTACATAGATAAACAAACACACGCCCAGGAATTGAGGGAGGAACAGCGTGATTTCCCCCCTTGAGAAGATAGGGAAGATGTTTGAGCGGCGTCAGTCTGAGAGAGCCCTCAGTGTGAGAAGAAGGCCTCAGTGTGAGGTAGGCCTCAGTGTTTATTTATCTATAGCATTTATATGCCGCCCTTCTCACCCCAAAGGGGACTCAGGGCAGCTTACAAGATATAAATACATACAATATATTATATTATTAGCATAGCATAATATCGGTATTATATATTACTATATTGTACTATACCATTATATTGTAATATTATTAGTAATATCACGTGTAATATAAAATACATAATTATAATATTGTATTATTATTTGTAGTAGTATATTGTTCATTCGTTCCCGACTTTGTGACCTCCTGGATCATCCCATGCCAGAGCTCCCTGTCGACCGTCACCACCCCCAGCTCCTTCAAGGTCAATCCAGTCACTTCAAGGATGCCATCCATCCAGCTTGCCCTTGGTTGGCCCCTCTTCCTTTTTCCTTCCATTTTCCCCAGCATCGATGTCTCCTCTAAGCTTTCCTTTCTTCTCATGATGTGGAAATAGTGTTAGTAGGCCTCAGTATGAGAACGCCTCAGTGTGAGAGGAAGCTCCAGTGTGAAGGCTACTGTTTGTATAAAGCTACTGTGTGAAACTTATGTGTAAGTTCATAGTGCGAGGAGGGTCTGTGAGAGCAAAACTATTTATCTGCACGAGAAAGAAGCCCAGTGTGGAAGAAAGAGGGAAGTGTAAAGAACTTTATTTGTGTTAACACAAATAAGGTTCGACAATTCCCAACAGTTGGCTAGACTGGTTAGACTCACACTGAACTTCCGGAGAACTCACACTGAACTTACACAGAAGTTTCACACAGGAGTTTATACAAACAGCAGCCTTCACACTGGAGCTTCCTCTCACACTGAGGCGTTCTCACACTGAGGCCTACTAACACTATTTCCATATCATGAGAAGAAAGGAAAGCTTAGTGAAGACATTGATGCTGGGGGAAAAGGAAGAAAAAGGAAGAGGGGCCGACCAAGGGCAAGATGGATGGATGGCATCCTTGAAGTGACTGGACTGACCTTGAAGGAGCTGGGGGTGGTGACTGCCGACAGGGAGCTCTGGCGTGGGATGGTCCATGAGGTCATGAAGAGTCGGAAATGACTGAACGACTGAACAACATAATGTAATACAATATACTACTACAAATAATAATACAATATTATAATTATGTATTTTATATTACATGTGATGTTTCTAATAATATAACAAAATAATGGTATAGTACAATATAGTTATATATAATACTGATATTATGCTATGCTAATACTATAATATATTGTATGTATTTATATCTTGTAAGCCGCTCTGAGTCCCCTTTGGGGTGAGAAGGACGGCATATAAATGCTGTAAATAAATAAATAAATAAATAAATACTGAGGCCTACCTCACACTGAGGCCTTCTTCTCACACTGACGCCGCTCAAACATCTTCCCTATCTTCTCAAGGGGGGAAATCACGCTGTTCCTCCCTCAATTCCTGGGCGTGTGTTTATTTATCTATGTAAATTATACTGGCGCTTCCTCTCACACTGAGGCGTTCTCATACTGAGGCCTACTAACACTATTTCCAAATCATGGGAAGAAAGGAAAGCTTAGAGAAGACAATGATGCTGAATGGCCCCTGGGATCTCTTTCAAGTATGATTCTATCTGCTAGTAGGCTGTTAGGAATGGTGGAAGTCCAAAACACCTGGAGGGAGGGCCAACGTTTGCCAATGTGCAATTGGGCTAGTAAGATCCCCTACCGGAGGTGGTGAACTGCTTCCCGCACTGGCGGCACTTGAGCGGCCCGTCGGCAATGTGGATCTTCAGGTGGGCCTTGAGGTTCCCCACCTACACAGGGGAGAGAGTGGATTGAACGGAGGGGGGTACACAGTGGTGCCCCCCACCGAGAGGTGGCCCCGCCTCCCGAACGCCCCCCCCCTCCCTGCGCACCTGGTTGAACTTCTTCTCGCAGTGGGGGCACTTGTGCTCCTTGCCGGCGTCGTGGGTCTCGAGGTGGCGCATCTTGGAGGTGGGGTCCGAGAAGGAGCGCCCGCAGAAGTCGCAGCGGTAGGGCTTCTCCCCGCTGTGGACCAGCTGGTGGCGCTTGAGGTTCCCCGAGGTGGTGAAGAGCTTCCCGCAGTCCTCACAGCGGTACTTGGCCTCACCCGTGTGGCGCTTCTTGTGCAGGTTCAGCAGGCTCACCAGGCGGTAGCTCTTCCCACACTCCTCGCAGCTGTAGGGCTTCAGCGGGCTGCAAACAAGGGGGGTACCAATGAACTAGGGGGGCTTTGGGGCCACTTCACCCCTCCTCAGCCTGCCTTGATGGGAGCCAGACCTCCTCTTACACTCCCGTACACACCCATGACATCGATTCTGCTCCCATTACACCAGGATCCACCCAACCTTTATGCTCTCATTCATTCCCTTCCCTTCCGCTCCCAATTCAGTAATAATTTTATAATATAAAAGTATTACAAAATTATAAAATGTTATCATAATTTTATATTATAAAATTATATAAAATTATTATAATTTTATATAATTTTATAATATAAAATTATAACATAACAATTATAATTGTTATTATAATTTTATATTATAAAATAATAACAATTATAATAGTTATTATAATTTTATATTATAAAATTATATAAAATTATAATAATTTTATGTAATTTTATAATATTAAATTATAATAACGATTATAATAGTTATTATAATTTTATTATAGCTGGCCCTGCTATAATAATAAAATTATAATAATTTAATATAATATTATTATACAAGTATTCGTATGGCTATTTCATAGTATTGCAATATTGTTGCTATATATTTTATTATATTATAGCACTATAAGTATTAATATTTTATAGTACTCCATTATTATTGTATTATTAGTTTTATTTATTTATGTATTTATTTACTTTATTTATATACCGCTTTTCTCAGCCCTCAGGCGACTCAAAGAAGTGAACAACATCAATACAAAACATCACGAGACAAGTATAGGGAAATTAAAAACAATTAGTAAAAATTAAAAATATTATTGGTATTAATATTTTATAGTATTATATTATTATTTATATTTTATTTTTACATTATTATTTTATATTGTTATGTAAGTATTAGTACTAATATTTTATAATATTATTATTTTATAATTTATTAGATTATTCATACTATTACATTATTAACTTATATTTTATTGTATTCTTATATAAGAATTAGTATTGATATTTCATAGTATTACATTATTATTTTATATTTTATTATTATATAATTACAGTTTTACATTATGATATTTCATATTTTATTATACTATTATACAAGTAGTAGTATTAATTTATGGTATTATAATCTTTAATATATTTGTTATATATTTTAATATGTATATATAATATTTATTATAATACATGTTATTTTATTGTATTATTAATTTTATTAGATTACGCAAGTATTAGCATTAATATTTTATAGAATTATTTTTATTTTATTATTATTATATATAATTATAGCATATATGTATTATATATAATTTATACTACAAAAAATATTATTTTATTGTATTATTTTAAAAATTATTTTATATTGTATATCATTACACAAGGATTCGTATTATTATAGAGAATTATTATTTTTAATTTAATTATTATTATATATAATTATAGCATATATGTATTATATATAATTTATACTATAATAAATATTATTTTATATTATTTTAAAAATTATTTTATATTGTATATTATTACACAAGGATTCGCATTAATATTTTATAGAATTATTATTTTTAATTTTATTATTATTTTATATAATTATAGCATATATGTATTACATATAAATATTATTTTATTGTAATATTTTAAAAATTATTTTATATTATATATTATAACACAAGTATGCTTATTAATATTTTATAGGATTGTTATTTTTAATTTAATTATTATATATAATTATAGCATATATATATTACATATAAATATTTTATTGTATTATTTTTAAAAATTATTTTATATTGTATATTATAACACAAGTATTCTTATTAATATTTTACAGTGTTATTATTTTAATATTTGCATGATTATATATATCCTTATATATTAAATATTATATTATTTTTAAAAATGATTTTTATTTTATATTATTATTTTATTATTTTATTTTATATTATTATTTTATATTATTATACAAATATTTGTATTAATGTTTTATAATATTATTAATATTATTATTATATACATAACATCTTTATATGTTATACTACATATATTATACTATATATTATTTTATTTTATTAACAATTATTATGATTCTCTATTTTATATTAGTATACAAGTATTAGTATTAATATTTCATAGTGTTATTAGTATATTTAATTAATATACTAATAACACTATGAAATATTAACACTAATACTGTATAATAATATAAAATAGAGAATCATAATAATAATTGTTAATAAATAAAATAATATATATAATCATAATTTTAAGTAAAATAATAAAATAATATATGCATCATAAGCTATTATATAATATATATTATATTATATTAATTAATTTATTTATTTACTGCGCTTATATACCGCAATTCTCAGCCCAAGGGCGACTCATTGCGGTGCAAATTACAAAACATAGTGCAAAATAATCTACAATTCATCATTATCAGAAAAAATCTTATCAAAACATCAACATTACTACAAAATTCCTACTACATTCCGAATCGTCTCATCGTCAACCCACAATCCGATATCATTTCCGTTGTTCCGTTCCTATGGTCAAATTACCAGTCATTGCACTTCTTGGTCAAATGCCTTCTTAAATAGCCAGGTCTTTAACTTCCTGCGGAATATCAACAGGGAGGGGGCTAGCCTGATGTCCACGGGAAGGGTGTTCCACAGCCGAGGAGCCACCACCGAGAAGGCCCTATCTATATAATAGCTTGTGATGCATATATTATTTTATTATTTTACTTAAAATTATTATGATTATCCTATATTATTGTACAAGTACTCATATTAACATATTATAGTATTATTATTGTTGAATCTATGTACGAAATTGGCGACCCCGTTGGTACCTGTGTGTCTTCTCGTGGGCTTTGCAGGCGGCCGGGTCGGAGAAGGCTTTGCTGCACTCCTGGCAGGAGAAGGGCTTCTCCCCGGTGTGGATGCGGATGTGGCGCTTGAAGTTCCCCGTGTGCGTGAACTCCTTCCCACAGTCCTGGTGGAGGGGATCGCGGGGTCACCAACGTATGCCGAGTTCATGGGGTCCCCCCCACCGCCCGCTGTCCGATCGGGGTTCTCACCTCGCACTTGTGCGTGACGGACCCATAGGTCTTGGACTCGGTCCGGTCGCTGTAGGTTCCCGAGCGCAGGAGGCGGGATTCCCCCGCGCTCTCCTGCCCGGAGTCGCTGCCCTCGGCCTCATCCACCTTGGCCCGCTTGGCCTCCGAGGGAAGCTCTTCATCGTCCTCCTCCTCCTCTTCGTCCTCTTCCTCGTCAACGTCGTCGTCCTCCTCCTCCTGTCCCTCCAGCTCCACCTCCATCTCAGCCGGGACCTTCACGGCCGTCGGTTCTGGATAGGCAGAGGAAGGCGCTGAGGGAACCCACCCACTGGAGCCCACAAACGGATTGCGCCATTGCCCTCGCGGCCCCCCCACTCACCCTTCAAAGGCAGGCCTTCTGTTGTGACGCTGGGCTCCTCCTTGGCCCTGTCCTCCGCTTCTTCGCCTGTCTTCTCTGCAGCTGGGAAGAGAGCGGGGCCATCACAAAGCAGACCATGCTTCTCGCCCAAGAGGTGCTCATTCTAAAATTCCTCGAAGTCAACCCCACGCTGCCCAAGTCTGCAGTCCTCAATGAGGGACACTTCGTTAGCTTTAGAACATTCCCCTTAAGTCTCGAACGTCAGTTGGAATGCATCTATTTCAGGCCGTGGCAAACTTTGGCCCTCCCTCCAGGTGTTTTGGACTTCGGCTCCCACAATTCCTAACCCAACAAGGGTTATGTCAAGCCCAGGATTGTGGGAGCTGAATTCTAAACACTTGGAGGGCCCATACCGGAGCTTAGACACAATTCTTTCCTATCTGGGAACGTGGATCTTATTTGTAAACAAACCCTTTTTGGTGACTTCGAACTCTGCCTCTTTGCCCGCTAAGCTCAATAATTCTTTTGCAGCCACACAGCACTCCAACATTCCACTTACTCAATAAAGTATCCTGTTTGTGTTTTTGGATTTTGGGTGCTCTGCCGTTTTAGGAAAATCCCCTAACGCAAATAACACGCAGCCACTGACCTGTCTTCTTGCCGAGTGCATGGCCTTCCTCCTCCTCCCTCCGCCACAAAGCACTCCAACTTTCTGCTTACTCAATAAAGTACCGTTTGTGTTTTTGGATTTTGGGTGCTCTGCCATTTCAGGAGAATCCTCTAACGCAAATAACACGCAACTGCTGACCTGTCTCCTTGCTGTGTGCATGGGCTTCCTCCTCCTCTGCCACACAACACTCCAACTTTCCGCTTACTCAATAAAGTATCCTGTCTGTGTTTTTGGATTTTGGGTGCTCTGCCATTTCAGGAGAATCCTCTAACGCAAATAACACGCAACCGCTGACCTGTCTCCTTGCCGTGTGCATGGGCTTTCTCCTCCTCCGCCACACAACACTCCAACTTTCAGCTTACTCAATAAAGTATCCTGTTTATGTTTTTGGATTTTGGGTGCTCTACCGTTTCGGGAGAATCCCCTAACCCAAATAACACACAACTGCTGACCTGTCTCCTTGCTGTGTGCATGGGCTTCCTCATCCTCTGCCACACAGCACTCCAACTTTCCGCTTACTCAATAAAGTATCCTGTTCATGTTTTTCGATTTTGGGTGCTCTGCCGTTACAAGAGAATCCCCTAACGCAAATAACACGCAACTGCTGACCTGTCTCCTTGCCGTGTGCATGGGCTTCCTCCTTCTCCGCACAACACTCCAACTTTCTGCTTACTCAATCCTGTTTGTGTTTTTGGATTTTGGGTGCTCTGCTGTTTTGGGAGAATCCCCTAACACAAATAACACACAGACCTGTCTCCTTGCTGAGTGCATGGTCTTCCTCCTCCTCCTCGTCCACGGCTTCAGGTTCTTGAGGGGTGCACGGGGAGGCCTCCCCTTCCTTGATGGTGGCTTCCGCTGCTTCCTCCGCGGGGCCACCAGAACCCTTGTCGTGCCCTGGAAAGCACGGCCCCCTTGTCAAGAGGAGGACCCAACCGTTCCCATCCCCACGCCTTTCCCCTCTTTTCTCTCCACGGAAAGAGACCCAAAGCGAGACAATGGTATCCCAGTTCCCCCCAGGGGTGCCTTACCTGTTGCCTGGGGGGCCTGGGGACCAGGGGAAGAGGACCCAGCACCCGCAGCCAGGGCCCGGAGGGAGTGGCAGGCGCTGATGACCTCCTGCATCTGGAGGAGGCCAGCCACCGCCAAGACGTCCTCCACGTTCTCCGGGCTCAGGCTCAGCTTTGCCGTGTACATGAACTCCAGCACCCGCTCCAGGCCTAAAGGAAGGGGAAAGGGCCGGGCATAAGGGCTGCAATCTCCCTGCCCCACTGCATTCAGTGGGGCAGGGAGGGGATGGAAGGAGACTCGGTGAGATTCTAATAATATTATAGTATTATTTATTTACGACATTTCTGTCACCCTTCTCACCCCGAAGGGGACTCAGAGCGGCTTACAAGATATATATACATACAATATATTATATTATTAGCATAGTACAATATCACTATTATATATTACCATATTGTACTATACTATTATATTGTAATATTACAAGTAGCATAAATTATATAATTATAATATTGCATTATTATTAGTAGTATAATATTGTATTACACTATAATATTCTAAATAGTGTTAGTAGGCCTCAGTATGAGAACGCCTCAGTGTGAGAAGAAGCTCCAGTATTATTAGTATTATATTGTATCACATTATAATATAAATATTAGTAATATTACATGTAATATAAAATATATAATTATAATATTGTATTATTATTATTAGCAGCATAATATTGTATTGCACTATAATATTCTAAATAGTGTCAGTAGGCCTCAGTATGAGAACGCCTCAGTGTGAGAGGAAGCTCCAGTATTATTACTATTATATTGTATTACATTAAAATATAAAATTAGTAATATTACATGTAATATTAAATAAATATAATATTGTATTATTATTATGAGTATAATATTGTATTACACTATAATATTATATATAGTGTTAGTAGGCCTCAGTATGAGAACGCCTCAGTGTGAGAGGAAGCTCCAGTATTATTAGTATTATATTGTATTACATTATAATATAAATATTAGTAATATTATATGTAATATAGAATATATAATTATAATATTGCATTATTATTATTATTAGTAGTATAATATTGTATTACACTATAATATTCTAAATAGTGTTAGTAGGCCTCAGTATGAGAACGCCTCAGTGTGAGAGGAAGCTCCAGTATTATTAGTATTATATTGTATTACATTATAATATAAATATTAGTAATATTACATGTAATATAAAAGAATTATAATATTTTATTATTATTAGTAGTTGTATAATATTTTATTACACTATAATCTAAATAGTGTTAGTAGGCCTCAGTATGAGAATGCCTCAGTGTGAGAGGAAGCTCCAGTATTATTAGTATAATATTGTATTACACTATAATATTCTAAATAGTGTTAGTAGACCTCAATATGAGAACGCCTCAGTGTGAGAGGAAGCGCCAGTATTATTAGTATTATATTGTATTACATTATAATATAAATATTAGTAATATTATATGTAATATAGAATATATAATTATAATATTGCATTATTATTATTATTAGTATAATATTGTATTACACTATAATATTCTAAATAGTGTTAGTAGGCCTCTGTATGAGAACGCCTCAGTGTGAGAAGAAGCTCCAGTACTATTACATTATAATATAAATATTAGTAATATTACATGTAATATAGAATATATAATTATAATATTGCATTATTACTATTATTAGTAGTAGTAGTAGTGGTAGTAGTAGTATAATATTGTATTACACTATAATATTCTAAATAGTGTTAGTAGGCCTCAGTATGAGAATGCCTCAGTGTGACAGGAAGCTCCAGTATTATTACATTATAATATAAATATATATAATTATAATATTGTATTATTATTAGTAGTATAATATTGTTTTACACTATATTATAGTGTTAGTAGGCCTCAATATGAGAATGCCTCAGTTTGAGAGAAAGCTCCAGTATTATTAGTATTATATTGTATTACATTATAATACAAATATTAGTAATATTACATGTAATATAATATATATAATTATTATATTGTATAATATTATAAATAGTGTTAGTAGGCCTCAGTATGAGAATGCCTCAGTGTGAGAGGAAGCTCCAGTATTATTAGTATAATATTGTATTACACTATAATATTCTAAATACTGTTAGTAGGCTTCAGTATGAGAACGCCTCAGTGTGAGAGGAAGCTCCAGTATTATTAGTATTATAATATATATAAAGATTATGTGTATATACAATATATTATATTATTAGCATAGCACGGTACGGTAGTACAGTCCAATATAGTGGTATATAATACTAAAATTGTGCTGAGCTAATAATATATTGTCCTGTATATACGTTATTGGTCTTATTACATGACAATGTTATTGTTTCCGCTGAGGAGGGTGTTGCGGACGTCGAGGCGTACTACCTGCGGCGTTACGGATGTCGAGGCGCACAACGTCCCTCTGGGAGGCGAAGAGGGAGCGCAGGTAGGCGCTGCAGGCGGCCAGGACGGCCTTGTGTGCCTTGAAGTCGATGCCGTCCACCACCACGGCGCAGTCACACAGCAGGCCCTGCTCACGCTGCTGGTTCAGCTGCTCCAGCACTTGCTGGCTGTGCAAGGGGAAGTCCATGGCTGCAGCAGGACGGAAGGGGACAACGACAACAACAATAGAACCATACAATCCTGGAGTTGGAAGGAAACCCCAAAGGTCATTCAGTCCAACCCCCCTTCCGCCAGGCAGGAAGGGACCCCATCCAAGCGCTCCCAACAGATAGCCATGATGATGATGACACCATAATAGTACTAATTGTAAAAGAGAAGATAATGGAATAGAATAAACTGTAATAATACAATATGCTAATGAAATAATTATTGAAGAAGACAATGTAATGGAACAGAATAAACTATAAGATGATATAGTAATAATCGAAGAAGATAATAAGATATAGTAAGACAATATAGTTTGGGTTTTTTTCCTGTGTCAGGAGCGACTTGAGAAACTGCAAGTTGCTTCTGGTGTGAGAGAATTGGCCATCTGTAAGGATGTTGCCCGGATGTTTTACCATCCTTATAGGAGGCTTCTCTCATGTCCCCGCATGGGGAGCTGGAGCTGACAGAGGGAGCTCCACCTGCTCTCCCACTGACCTGTCGGTTCTCAGTCCTGCTGGCACAAAGTTTTAACCCATTGCGTCATTGTGGGCTCCATATAATAATATAGTATTAATATAATAATATAATAAAATAATAATATGTAATAATACTCCCTATAACATAATATGATATAATATGATTGTTGTTGTTGTTCATTCGTTCAGTCGTTTCCAACTCTTCGTGACTTCATGGACCAGCCCACGCCAGAGCTCCCTGTCGGCCGTCACCACCCCCAGCTCCTTCAAGGTCAATCCAGTCACTTCAAGGATACCATCCATCCATAATATGATAATATAAAAAAATAGTAATATATAATAATACTCCCTATAATCATAATGTAATATGATAATAATATAGGAATATAAAAATATATAATAATACTTCCTATAATAATAATAATATAATAAAATAACAATAATATAGAAAAATAATATATAATAATATTCATAATATAATATGATAATAATATAATACAGTAGTAATATATATAGTAATACTACCTATAGTATAATAGTATAATAAAATGATAATATAAGAAAATAATAATATATAATAATACTCATAATGTAATATGATAACACTATAAGAAACTAGTAGTATATAATAATACTCATAATATAATGATAATAATATAATACAATAGTAATATATATAGTAATACTTCCTATACTATAGGGAGTATTACTATATATATTACTACTGTATTATATTATTATCATATAAGTATTATTATATATTACTAGTTTCTTATAGTGTTATATTATATTATGAGTATTATTATATATTATTATTTTCTTATATTATCATTTTATTATACTATAGGGCCTATAGTATAATAAAATGATAATATAAGAAAATAATAATATATAATAATACTCCCTATATTATAATAATATAGTAATAATATAATATGATAATACTAGAAAGTAATACATAATAATATATAATAATGATATATGACACTAATAATATTAATCATATGTTTATATATAATAATATAATGATGATAATAATCATAATAGTAACAATAATAGAAGATAATATAGTGGAATAGAATAAACTATAACAATGTGACAATAACATAGTAGTAATATTACAACATCATAATAACAATGTACTAATTATGTGTATAATAATAATAAAGTAATAATACTATAATAGGGTTCAAGTTTTGCAACATTACAGAATAATAATAATAATAATAATAATAATAATAATAGGTCATGGCCACGCGCCTCTTCCAACTCTAGATCTCTCTCGCTCTCCTATACTGCCTAAGGCTGGACGGGCCTCTGTCGGGAGGGTTCTGCTGGGGCCTTCCCTGCCTGTCTCTCTCCCTGGTTGTCTTGCCTGGGGAGGGGGCGGGGCCTGGGCCTGTCAGTCAGCCGAGGCGCGGCCTACTTGTGGGCCTCAAGCCTTCCTTTCCCGGCGAAGGAAGGCCCCGACCTTTCCCTTGAGGGTGCCGCCCCTCCCCCCCGGCCCCTCCCCCAAACAAAGCCCCCCCCTCCCCTCCCCTCCCCTCCCCTCCCCCTCCCCTCCCCTCCCGCTCACCGGCCATCCCGGCGCCTCACATCATCCCGAGCTCAGGCGGACGCGGAAGAGACAAAGGGCGCCGCCATCTTGAGACCGGGCGGAAGCGGACTCCGAGGAGGAGGAGGAGCCGCCGCCACTCTCTTCCGCAACGGCGCGCGCAGGCAGCCAGCACGGGGCTGTGGATCTCCCTTTCGTTCTCCCTCCCGCCCTCACTTTCTCAGCTGCGCACGCGCAGGATCCGCTCCGCCCCGGCCGCCATGACACTAGAGGCAATCCTTCCCTCGCTCTCTCTCTCCCATCTGCGCACGCGCAGAGTTTGCTCCGCCCCGGCCGCCATGACACTAGAGGCAATCCTTCCCTCGCTCTCTCTCTCCCATCTGCGCACGCGCAGAGTTTGCTCCGCCCCGGCCGCCATGACACTAGAGGCAATCCTTCCCTCGCTCTCTCTCTCTCTCTCTCCCATCTGCGCACGCTCAGGAGTTGCTCCGCCCTTGCCGCCATGACACTAGAGGCAATCCTTCCCTCGCTCTCTCTATCCCATCTGCCTTGACAGGCAATCTTTCCCTCGCTCTCTCTCCCATCTGCGCACGCTCAGGAGTTGCTCCGCCCTTGCCGCCATGACACTAGAGGCAATCCTTCCCTCGCTCTCTCTCTCTCTCCCATCTGCGCACGCTCAGGAGTTGCTCCGCTCTTGCCGCCATGACACTAGAGGCAACCCTTCCCTCGCTCTCTCTTCCATCTGCGCACGCGCAGGGATTGCTCCGCCCCAAGCCGCCATGACACTAGAGGCAATCCCTCCCTCGCTCTTTCTCTCATCTGCGCACGCGCAGGGTTTGCTCCGCCCCGGCCGCCATGACACCAGAGGCAATCCCTCCCTCGCTCTTTCTCTCATCTGCGCACGCGCAGGGTTTGCTCCGCCGCGGCCGCCATGACACTAGAGGCAATCCCTCCCTCACGCTCTTTCAGCTGCGCACGCGCAGGGATTGCTCCGCCCCGGTCGCCATGACACTAGAGGCAATCCTTCCCTCGCTCTCTCTCCCATCTGCGCACGCGCAGGGGTTGCTCCGCCCCGGCCGCCATGACACTAGAGGCAATCCTTCCCTCGCTCTCTCTCCCATCTGCGCACGCGCAGGGGTTGCTCCGCCCCCGCCGCCATGACACCAGAGGCAATCCTTCCCTCGCTTTTTCTCTCATCTACGCACGCGCAGGGGCCGCTCCGCCCCGGCCGCCATGACACCAGAGGCAATCCCTCCCTCGCTCTTTCTCTCATCTGCGCACGCGCAGGGTTTGCTCCGCTCTTGCCGCCATGACACTAGAGGCAACCCTTCCCTCGCTCTCTCTTCCATCTGCGCACGCGCAGGGATTGCTCCGCCCCAAGCCGCCATGACACTAGAGGCAATCCCTCCCTCGCTCTTTCTCTCATCTGCGCACGCGCAGGGTTTGCTCCGCCCCGGCCGCCATGACACCAGAGGCAATCCCTCCCTCGCTCTTTCTCTCATCTGCGCACGCGCAGGGTTTGCTCCGCCGCGGCCGCCATGACACTAGAGGCAATCCCTCCCTCACGCTCTTTCAGCTGCGCACGCGCAGGGATTGCTCCGCCCCGGTCGCCATGACACTAGAGGCAATCCTTCCCTCGCTCTCTCTCCCATCTGCGCACGCGCAGGGGTTGCTCCGCCCCGGCCGCCATGACACTAGAGGCAATCCTTCCCTCGCTCTCTCTCCCATCTGCGCACGCGCAGGGGTTGCTCCGCCCCCGCCGCCATGACACCAGAGGCAATCCTTCCCTCGCTTTTTCTCTCATCTACGCACGCGCAGGGGCCGCTCCGCCCCGGCCGCCATGACACCAGAGGCAAAGTCGGCTGTAGAAAGAGAAAGAAACTAAACCAGATGCTCTGTTTTGAACGGTGTTCTGTGGCAGTGTGGACTCAAGTCTAACTTGAGCCAATGTTTATGTATATGTCTATGTATGTATGTTGGAGCTGGGCTTCTGTCGGGAGGGCTTTGATTGTGCCTTTCCTGCAAGGCATCAATGAGGCTGAACTAGGTGGTCTTTGGGCAGGCATGGGCAAAGTTAGGCCCTCCCTCCGGGTGTTTTGGACTTCAATCCCCACAATTCCTAGCAGCTGGTAGGCTGCTAGGAATTGTGGGAATTGAAGTTCAAAACACCCGGAGGGAGGGCCCAACTTTGCCCATGCCTGCCTTTTTGGCATCTTCCAACTCTATGATTCTATCTATCTATCTCCCTTTTTCTCAGAATGCAGGTGAACTATAACTTCCCATCAAGGTCCATCTCCCCCCCTCCCTCCTCAAAAGTTTGTTGTGTTGGTCATGGTGGGGTCTGTGTGCCAAGTTCGGTCCAGGTTCGTCATTCGTGGCGGTCACAATGGTCTGTGAAAGTTGGAGCCAAGTTGGGTGAAGGTACTGCAAATCCCATTATCCATACAAACCGCACTAGGACGTAAAGTAGGTCAT